GGGGGGGGGGGGGGGGGGGGGGGGGGGGGTGCTCTTTCTAGGCTGTCTGAGCAGGCTTACAGTCTGGGGTACAGGACTGAGAGAAGTGGAACTTCCCAGGAGGGAGCTGCCACTCAGACAGCACAAAGCTTGAACTCCTTGACAAAGTCTAAAGTGGCAGCAGCAGATCAGAGGGATTAGATAGGGGGAAAGCACCTCAGGATCCTTAGACATCAATGACAACCAGCGCGTGGAGTTGGTGGAGCATGCTTCGAGTTCACTGAGCAAGCCTCCGGCCTGCTCCTCTGCCCTGGAGCCTGCAGCAGGCCTCCAGAAAGGGACTGCCTGGCCTGGCAGAGCTACCCGAGCTGCCTGGGGGCCATGGATTGGCACTGTGCTCTACTGCTCAAACTCTATACATGTTTCCCCTTTATTCATTGGAGCAATCAGCCAGTCTTTTCCCTCGCTACCCCTCTTCCCCCCACCCAGCCCACACTGCAGTCTTTATCCCTTTACTGTCTAGGTTCCTGTCCCCCCATTCCCTTCAATATTTCCCTCCTTTCTCTTAAGCCTGTGATCTGATTAACTCTTTCCTCATATTGCCCCTCATCTTATCCCCCAATTACATATAAGGCATATACAAATAATGGAACTCTCTCATGTTCACAGCCCTTCACTCTCATTACTCTACTTGCATGCGACATCCCTTCTCTGCCCAAATCCATTATGCCTACACAAAGAAAATGTCTTTCTTTAGTCTTTGTCCAGCACAGTGGACCCCAGTTCCAGTGTAATCCTCATAATAAATAATAACCTATTCAGGAAACAGAGAGTGATGTGAACAGACCTGGAAAAATCCAATGACTGCCACCTCAGCAGCACTGATGAAGGCTGTTGTGGTTTCAATATCATTCAGAAGCACAGGTTTCTTTGCATTTCCAGTGGCACCTGGAGAGAGTGAGCAGTGAATATGTCAGCACTGCATAGCGAAGGCATGGATAGCAGCTCAGTGGACAAGCCCTTCACAGGCACAGAAAGACACACACCAGACCCACATGGTCTTTGCATGATGACTGCAGCAGATCTCTCTCCTGTGCTGGTACAGTGCCTCCTCATGGCATCCTAAGAGACAGAACTGTGAGGAGACTCACCCACCCTACGGTCCCATCCATGGCTCATGCAGGTCCCAAAGGATCTCTCAGCTGTAGAGCTCCTTGGGTTGCTCTCTCTCTCTCTCTCTCACACACACACACACACAATCCTCTCCATGAGCTAACCTCAAGGTCACTTCCTTACCGTGGGGTGAGGGACCTTCCTCAGCACACTCTGAGGGGACCCCCCAGGTGAAGAAGAAGATCAAAAGGCACCACAACCCAAAGGAGGCCATTGTCTTGCCTTCTCCCTTCCTTGCTGTTTGCTCCACGTTGGTCCCTGCCTGGCTGGATGACACGTCAGCTATTTCTTGATCAGATATGGTGCTCCCAGTGCCAGTGGGAACTGAGCATCTGGCAGAGAGAGAAACCTTCAGCTTCTGAGATAAAAGTTAGCAGAAAGACAGGGCCCTTGTGCCTCTCAGCTCTGCTCAGGTCATGGTATGGATACAGAACAACCTAATCCTGACACCACTGCCTGGGAATGACCTGGAGAGAGCCCCAACACTGGCTGGGACTACATAGACTCCTCCACTGTGAATGCTTTGAGTGTGCGCTGCAATGCATCTCATCCCAAGCCCTCTGAGAGGACTGGCACCAGGATGGTATCTCCATTCTCCCAGACTCTTATCCTTGCCCTTGCTCCTGCCCCCTGACTGTGCACCCTAAACTAGAAAGAACTTCCCCTGCATCTACAAAGAAGGTTGCTTTTTCACTATATCCCAGAGAGCATGGGAGGAAAGTGTATATATCATCCTCCTACTCCATTGTGTCCAATCAGGCAGTCAGGGCCCAGTGACAACCATTCCCTGGGCAATTGCTTGCATGTACAGCTTAAGAAACCCATATATCTGCTCCGGACAGTGTGGAGCAAATAGCTAAAAATGTTATGGAGGCCTTTAAGCTCATTAGACTTATTATACAGGAACACTGTATAACTAAAACCAATTGTCTATCTAGGCCAGTACCCTGTCTCTGATGGTGGGCCATATTAGATGTTTCAAAGGAAGCATCTACCCAAAAGAGTATATAGGAACTCTGCAGAAGGCAATGATAAAATAATTGGCCTACAGGAAACAGGTATCTTCCTAGCCCTCAGTGGTTAGTGGGTGGCTTATTCCACAAAGCCTAAGTGTTATCTGTCTTCTGAAACATTCAGTTTATGGGACGATTGTTATTATTTTTATTTTGTTTTAATATTTAACTTTGGACACCCTTTATCCACATTACAATTATTCTAAATATATGAAGGGCAGCTCATGGAAACACATGACATCAAAAAAAGAGGTTCACTCAGAAGAAAGGAAAGAAAATGGCTTTATTTTTGGGACACTGGAGTCTTTACAGGTCACAACAGCTAATTGAATATTACTGATTGGTTTTTGCCTTTAAAAGTCAAGACGTAAATGGACTTGAGCAATAGACCCAGACAAAGTACCATAATGGAATAGGAAGAGCCATTTACAATGAGTTGGAGTACAGAGCAAAGATAACTCTGTTGGGGATCTTTTAACAGACGATCTGCTCTGCCAAAATCATTATGAAGCAGGTACTGTTAATGTGGTTCCTAGAAAAGGCACTTTCAGGGTCCAGGTTTGATGCAAAAGAGGGAACAGCAGGGTTGGAGACATTCCCTGGTTTCCTGTTTGTGTGCCACAAAGGGTCTGTGTTGAAGATGGACTGGTTTTTTTCAGTGTAGTAGCAGGAGATGCAGAGCCTGCCCACAGGCCTCTGTAAACACCTGCTTGTGCAGACGCTCCTGTAATGGAAGAGGGCAACAAGAGCTCTAAAACTTGTGACAGAAAGCAGCATGATGTGCAGGGTCCAGGGCCTGGCACACAGGGATACTAGTGCAATAGGCAAAGGGCAAGAAGGGGAAGGCAAGGAGGGTGTGAGCTCATTCTGTCCAATCCTTCTTAATGGACAGATTCCATTCCCAGGTGAGATGGTCATGCTTGTCGTCATCGGTGAAGAAGGACTTGTTGTGATAGGTGCCCCGAGCAAGCATGCCCTTGGGGGCCTCTTCAATAGGTGTCAGGAATTCATACTCCTCTGGCCGTGGCCCATAACTACCAACCATGAATGTGGCTTTATCCACTAGGGGAAAAAAACACAAGGAAAGAGCCCATCATAAGGGAAGGAAACAAAGGGAAAAGAGGCAGATACACAAAGACATGGGAACTGTGGGGGAGGTTATGTGGAGGAGCAGGCAAGGCTGGGAATGGACAGATTGAATGAAATTGCTGGAGAGAACCACCAAGGTGGATGGTGGGAGGACAGTACTGCTTTCACCTTACTGGTGCGTGTGTTTTGGCAGGTTTGGGAGGATCTTTGTGGAATCCTGTATTGTGAGAATTATTTCTCCTTCCCCTTTAGCCCCAGTCTGTTAGGTGTAGGAGGGTAAGGAATGGTGCAAAGGTGACCAGGTGCTGTGTTGGGGAAGTGTGTGGGGTCTGCCTTTTGTACGGGCTTGGTTGACAGTAGTGCTCTGTGTAAGATGGGACACTGTGTGTATGAGGGGCTGGTCTTTACAAGGAAGATGTCCTGTGGAGCAGTTCTGTATGGACTCTTTTCTTTTTTGGATGTGGAAGGCTTTCTATACAATGAGAAACTCTGAGATAGGAAGTAACAGGGAAAGAGGACTCAGCATACAGTGGAAATCTCCATGGTGAGTGCTATCTAAAAGAGAGTCTATGGGTATGTGTAAGCACCACAGGGCATAGATATCCCAGCTAGCTGTAAATCAGCTGGCAGAAGTAATCTAGCCACAGAAGCATGGATGCACATGCAGGCTAATTTGCCCTTAGAAGAATATCTACACCAGTGGTTCTCAACCTAACCCCTTGTTAGACTCAAGGCACCCCATGGAAAATGCCAATTCTCTTTGACTACAGAAAAATAATAGAGCAATTCTTCTGTTGCAAAGAACTCAGAAAGACCATGTCAGGTCAGAATGTTTTCAATACTGTGGATTCCCATTTAAAATCTCTGGGTTTATTTTATGAATCATGCAGGTGTTTGCATAGCACCCTGTGGCACCCTTGAAAAGCACTTGCAGCACCTCAGGGTGCTGTGGCACACCGGTTGAAAATCACTAGATTTAGGTCTAGAGTATACTGCACCCTGCAGAGCAGACTAAACCTATTTGTGAAAGGCTCAGTGTAGGCTGAGAGCCTCGAAAGGGGCGCTTTCACTTTGGGGTATCACTACATAAGGTGGGAGAAGCCATGGGCAGGAATGGGAGCCGGTGTGGGTGAATGGTACGTGTGGGAGGGAAGGGAATCCTCTCTCACTCACCTTTCACGCCCGTTCGGTAGGTATGCTGTACATATTTCAGTCCAGACACAATGTCCCTATTCACCTGCAAGAGAAAAGCATCAGGAATGAGTCAAAAGAGGAGGATCTGGTTCACTCTCACTGCTTTCCACCCTTCAGTCATACACAGACTGCTCCTGTCCCTGCTCCCACCTTGATGGACATAGTGTGACAGGCCTTCAGGTATAGCATGGAGCAGACACAGGCATGACATTTCTCAGGGGCAGACAAATGGAATCCCTTACATCCTAGATATTTATGACTGTCTAATGTAATTTGTATTTTGGGTTTCTTTTCTCCTCCTCAAGCTCCCCATATACTGAGATGTATTAATGAGTCTCTCAGGACGGACTAAAGAGGGAATGGCTGAATGAAAGAGAAGCCTAAGGCTCACAGTTGAAAATTCCTATGCTAGATGGGTAGAGTCATCCTGGGTGGAGTCATCCTATGTCCTATGCCTAAGGCACACAGTTGAAAATTCCTATGTTAGCAGAGTAAAGTTATTCCTAGGCAGCTGGGTAGAGTCATCCATTCAAGAACAAAGAGACAGGGAACATCAAGGCCAGACCAGCTGAGCTCATTCCTTCTCTACAGTCACTATATAGGGATGACAACCTTATCCGCAAAGGGTGGTGGACAGATGGTGTAGGTATGTAGTCAGCTGCCGTAAACAGTGTCCTAGTAATTTTTCCTCAGTATTCCCACATAGTGTCACAGCTTGACGGCATTACCTTCTTCTCCACTCCTTTACACATTTTCTTACTGAAGTGTTACTAAAACTGAAAAGCACACAGAGGGCTCCTGCCATGCCCCGAGGAACGAGCATGCCGCTCCTAAAAAGTGGTGCAGATCTTTACCAGCAATGGGAACAAAGGAATTCAGATAACTGCCGTTCCTGTATAAAAGGATTGAAGGGCATGTTTCCTAGTATAAAAAATGCCTAGATGTGACTCTGGAACATAGCTATGTCTAGGACTGGGTCAGTAGAGTTGTGTGAACTAGTGGAAAACTCTTCCACGTGCCTTCCCATGAGGACTTTCAGTGTTCCATTCCAGGTGATTTAACATCCCTCAGATAGTGCTTTTCTGCCCAAACCAGCTATGTTTTAAATAAAAGACAGCCAAGATGACCATTTCAGCACCAAATGACACCTTTTCCTTTGAACAAGACCCATTTTCAATTTTTGCTTTGTTTTTCATGGGTTTCTTTTTTTTTGGGGGGGGGGGGG